TGAGACAAAGATGAAAGGAAAAGGAGAAGTGGCATTTGGTGATGTGACAGGTAGGGTGTCTGGGGTTCAAAGAGGGAGAGCGACAGAAGGTGTGGTATTATCGCTGAGTGAATGGATGGTAAATAAGGTAGTGGAATGGAAAGAAGTGTCATCTAGGCTAATGTGGGTGAGGGCTAGGATAGGTAGGGAATGTTGGGCTTTTGTTAGTGCGTATGGGCCAGGATGTGAGAGAAGTGCGGGATGCATTCTGGAATGAAATAACTAGGTGTGTGGATGGTCTGAGTAGAAGGAACTATGTAGTTGTGTTGGGTGACTTGAATGCCAGAGTGGATGATGGAGAGGTAGAAGGTGTTGTAGGAAAGTATGGGGTACCAGGTGGGAATGAGAGTGGCGAGAGACTGGTAGATATGTGTTTGGAGCAAGAGTTGGTGATAGATAATAGTTTTTTAAAGAAGTTAATAAATAAGTATACATGGATGAGAGTGGCAAATGGAAAAGTGAAAGAAAGAGCACTGATGGATTATGTGTTGGTAGCAAAGAGCATGATTGATAGAGTGAAAGATGTGCATGCATTTAGGGTTGTGGCTGCTGAGATGTCTGATCATTTTTTGGTTGAAGCAAAAGTGGTAGTAGCAAAAGAGTGGGGAAATAGAGTGGGGGGATGTAGAAGGGAAATGGTGAAAGTGGAAGAGTTGAAAAACCAGAGAAGAGACAGGAATATCAGGACAGGTTGAAAGTGGCATATAACAGGGTGAAAGAAAGTGAAGTTGGGGAGTTAGAGGAGGATTGGGGGTTAATGAAAGAATGTATTGTGGGACATGCAAGTGATGTGTGTGGAAAGAGGTTTGTTGGAGGTGGCATGAGGAGGGGCAGCAAGTGGTGTAATGAAGTGGTGAAAATGAAGGTGGAAGAGAAAAAGAGGGCTTTTGAGGAATGGCTGCAGTGTAACAGAATGGAGAAGTATGAAAGATATAGGGAGAAAATGTGGAAACCAAGCAGAAGGTAGAGGAAGAGAAGAGGTTGGCAAATGTTAGGTGGGGACAGGATTTTAGTAGGTCATATGAGGAGCATAAAAACAAGTTTTGGAAAGAAGTGAAGAGAGTAAGGAAGGGTGGATCGATGATGGAAGAGACATTGAAAGATATGAATGGACAGATGTTAACAGGGAACGATGCAAGGAAAAGATGGGCAGTATATTTTGAATGCTTGCTAAATGTTTAGGAAGATAGAGAGGCAGCTATAGTAGCAGTGGGGGGAGTTCAAGTGCCAGTATTGGGAGATGAATATGAGAGAGAGATTACAAGAGAGGAGTTGAAAAGGGCATTGTATGAAGCAAAAGCAGGTAAAGCACCTGGAATGGATGGTGTGAGAGCGAAGATGTTGAAAGAAGGGGGTGTGACTGCATTGGAATGGTTAGTGAGGGTTTAATATATGCTTTATGTTGTCAATGGTGCCAGTGGAAAGGGTGATTGCTTGTATAGTGCCCCTATACTAAGGAAAGGGAGATGTGTATGAATGCAGTAATTATAGGGGTATAAGTTTGTTGAGTGTGGTAGGAAAAGTGAGTGGTAGGATACTGATTAATAGGATTAGGGATAAGACAGAAAATGTGATCGCGGAAGTGCAGAGTGGTTTTAGGAGAGGTAGAGGTTGTATACATCAGATTTTCATAGTTAGGCAGTCATGTGAGAAATATTTAGCTAAGGGAAAGGATGTGTATTTTGCATTTTTGGATCTGGAGAAAGCGTAAGATAGAGTTCATAGAGAGGCAATGTGGAATGTTTTGAGGTTATATGGAATTGATGGTAGACTGTTGCATGCAGTAAAGAGTTTGTATGAGGAGAGTAGAGCTTGTGTTAGGGTAGGGAATGAGACAGGGATGAATGATGTCACCATGGCTGTTCAATTCGTATATTGATGGAGTCGTAAGAGATGTGAAAGAGCGAGTGCGTGGTCGAGGTTTGAGAATGGTAGATGGGGAAGATAACGAGTAGGCGCTGAATCAGTTGTTGTTTGCAGATGATACTGTGGTGGTGGCAGATTCAGAGGAGAAGCTGTGTCAGTTAGTGTAAGAATTTGGAATGGTGTGTGAGAGAAGGAAGTTGAGAGTGAATGTGGGAAAGAGTAAGGTTATGAGGTGTACAAGAAATGAGGATGGGACTGGATTGAATGTTATGTTGAATGGAGAGACACTTGAGGAAGTTGATCAGTTTAAGTATTTAGGCTCGGTTATAGCTGCAAATGGTAGAGTGAAAGCAGATGTGTGTCACAGAGTGAATGAAGGATGTAAAGTTTTGGGTGCGTTGAAAGGAGCGATGAAGAATAGAGGGTTGGAAATGAATGTTAAGAAAGTTTTGTATGAGCAAGTGCTTGTGCCAACTGTGATGTATGGATCAGAGTTATGGGGTATGAAAGTAAGTGAGACGGAAACTAAATGTGTATGAGATGAAATGCCGGAAGAGTATGACTGGTGTATCTCGGTTGGATAGGGTTAGGAATGAAGTGGTGAGAGCAAGAATGGGTGTGAGGAGAGAATTTGCAGCAAGAGTACATATGAATGTCCTGAGATGGTTTGGCC